ACTGATGATCACAGGAAACCTAACGCTACTATGTACCTCAATGCCATAAATTGGCACGGGGATATCAGCATGCATGAACAGAATTTTTTGAGGCAGGTGGTACTGGCTTACTCGGAAGAAAGCAGTTCCCTCAGTCCTACAAGGGCATCCAGAGAAGAAGACAAGTAAGAAGTGGACATTTCACCATGTGAAAACTGAAGAGCTTACCAATAGCAGATCCTAATCAGATGTTCTACGCAGCTGCTGAGAAAAGGCAAGGGGACATGTACTGCTGTGTGGTATATTCCTTATCTTTCTGTTTATTGTGGAGCTATGCTACATCAAATCCCATTTGGCTGAGAGAGGTGATACAGGAGAGGGAGCACCACAGGAGAGTCTGCTGGAAGCTGTAATTGTAGCACAGCCACCAGTACATGGGTAGGACATCCAAATTCTGATAATTCTTATCAGCCACATGTAGACAAGGAGAAAACTCCCTCGCTTTTTGTGGTTCTTTTTCTTAGAAGAGTATGGAGCAACAGAGTATTTGTCAGCAATGTGTCTTTCCTTGTATCGTTCATTTTCTAATGGGGAGACTCATACTGCACTTGAAGCAGTATTTTAAACATTACTGGTTTTGATAAATCATGAGGGTAACTAACAACATGTTAACACAAATGGTTGCAGACAGACCTAACCTTATCCTCTCTATGCTTTTAAGTACCCAAGCTACAAAAGAGGCCACATTTTAGCATGTTAGTGTGACAGAACAAATCAACTCAAATGCATTGACATGACTTCTGAACTGGAGGTGGCTTCTGCCCATCCAAATTAGATTAGAGAAAGGAAAAAAAAAAGGTTTTTCTGTACCTGCACAGAACAGATATATCCTCAGACAGAAAACTAACTCTATTTAAAGAAAATACCCCACTTCCCCAATTTCCAAATTGTATCCAAAGAAACAAATTATTTACTCTCAAGGCTGACATTACAGTCAAATATGTTTATTGATAACTGCAAGTGAACTGCTCTTTCCTTTGCATCACAGTAAGAGAAACTAAGGATCAAATATTCCTACATAGTTTTGATGGCCTATTAAGGTGAAAGACATGTAGAGACCACTGGGTCCTACTTGCCAAAATATTTCGAGTTTGTGGGATATTCATGTATCAGACATGAAATTTATATCTGCATAAGCATTTGGAAGACAGTAACAAGCTCTGGAAACTACTAGAGATCAGTGAAAGGAACAGGGAAGAAACAGCAGGGTCTAAAATAGATTGCAACACTGGCTGATTATATTCACAAGCAAAAGAAAAACATTTCTGTATGAGGTGTTACACTTCATAACATAATCAATGCATGATGAAGGAAGAGGCACAAAGTTTGTCCTTTTAAAGACTTTGTTTTATGCAGTCCCCTGGTGTTTACAAAGTTGTTCACACATATTTAAATAATCTCTCCATATAGCTACCACTTAACAGATATTCTGGACACACAAATGCAAAGTGAATCCTTCATTTTGCCACCTCTCCACTTCATGTTTCTGGAGGATGAATTCCCTCTAAGCCTGGTTCTGCTACTTTACTGCTCTGATCCTTTGCTTCAGTTCTGATCACCCTCCTCTGCTCCCCTTCCACCTGAGTAACAAAACAAAAAGCTTTGGAGGGAAGCTGCCCAGCAGCAAAAGTTTCAGGCAAGGAAGCTGGAGGGAAGATATTGATCAGTGTCAAACCACTTTCAAAGTAATGGAAGGAGAGTTTCACTCTCTTCTAGTAAAAGTGGTATCGATTCAATTCTGTCTTTATAACTGAAATAGCTCACTGGCTCCAGTGAAGCCAGCTTTCTCCTCATTCTGATCTCTCTTTCCTGCTTATTGGAAAGTGGAGGATGGATGAAGTTGAAGAACACAGTCCCTAGTCTGGGACATGGGCTCAAATCAGGTTCCATGTCCTGCCAGATGTTGAACATTGTCATGAAACTAAGCAGATTGCCTGGGTTCTCCTACTTTCCCACACAGGACTGAGGACAAGTCAAGCTTATCCTCACCATAACTCCTTTGCTATGTAAAGAGGGTGGTTGTCCATCATAGCACAGTGAGTGACCCATCATTTTGTTTCTTCAGTTGAAAGTCCATCTTTGCAGGAGAGATGACTGTATGGGGAAGAAGCCGTACTAGGTAGAACACTTCCAGTATCTGTGTTAAAGAAGAATTTTTTTCAGTGACTGTAGTATTGTGTTAACTCTGTTCTTTTTAAAAATAATACTGAAAGTGCCTGGAATACAGAGAAGGAGACTCCACAACCTCCCTGGGCAGCCTGTTCCAGTGCTCCGTCACCCTCAGAGGGAAGAAGTTCTTCCTCATGTTCAGACGGAACTTCCTGTGCTTCAGTTTGTGCCCATTGCCCCTTGTCCTGTCACTGGGCACCACTGAAAAGAGCTTGTCCCCATCCTCCTGACACCCACCCTTCAGATATTTGTAGGCATTTATAAGGTCCCCTCGCAGCCTTCTCTTCTTCAGGCTGAACAAGCCCAGTTCCCTCAACCTCTCCTCGTAGGGGAGATGCTCCAGTCCCCTCACCAGTATTTTAAAACTTCTTATAAATTACTATAAAAATAAAGAGTAAACAAGCTGTTGCAGTTTCAGAGTACAAACAGATTAAGGAGTAGAGAAGCTGAAGCCACCCCTATACTTCTGTGGACAGAGAGGAAAAGTGAACTGGAAGGACTGGAAACACTCTGATTACTCAGTCCATGACGTTGTTGTGGGTCACTTTAGTTCTGCTCCCATTTCTACTGCTGACTCTTGGTTCGGGCTTAGACAAGTCGCTTTGCTAGTAGAAACTGTCGTAATGCATCATCACAACTTCACTAAAATCTGTGGAGTTGTAACAAGTTGCAACAAAGGATTTGTCATCTAGCTGTCTGTCCTTTATTGACAAACATCTGCACAAGCATGCTGTCCTATCTTTCAGTGATCCTTTCAGAATAAGTCAATATATAGGGAATATTAAGACAAGTATGTTAAGACATCAGAAAGTCTAACTATGCAAACAGATTTGTTTCAGCATATGGTTTATGCCCTGCCTGCATGGGGTAGATGGGGAGGGCTCGTTGCTTATTTTTGGTTTCAGGATCAACATTGGCCATTCAAACATCATCCTCCTTGTATATCAACAGCAAACCTGTCCTTGCATTCAGTAGGAGAACACCAAACCATTAGTTCTGAATACTCCCTTTGGAGCAGAACTCTTGTTTAATGGTGATGACAGTGCCCAAACATGGAAGAGTTAAAAGGCACAGATAAGCCTTAGAGGAACTGGAAATCCCCTGAGTCACTGGAGCTATTCACACTGTGGATGTTATACATACATCCACTCTACTTTATAATGTTTAATCTTTTTACACTTAGAGACCGGTCTTATGTTGCTAGGTACTTTCAAGTGAAATTATTACATTTTCATGTAAGGAAATGCCATGGCACTAATCTGTGCCATTAAAACAGAAAGTTATCCTTCAGTTGATATATCGCCTTGAACTTGTTGTTTATATTAAAATCAGTATAATTTCTACCGGGGGAATTTTTTTTAAAAGGTGATTTAATACAGTTGAAAATTTCCTACAGACTTAATGGCAATATCATTCTCCAAGAAATCAAGAAAGGTATGTAACTGGACATCTGCTAAAAAAAATACTACATTTTAATCTTTTTTTCCTGTTAGTATGTGTTATGAAGTTGAAGCTAACACATATCTCGTAAGAGGATTTTTTTGATGTTAAAAATGCTACACATTCAGAGTACAAAAAATTCCTAAACTGAACACTGTTATGAGAGAAAAATTACTTATTTGTATAGCGTTCAAAAAGAAATTTTACATTTCCCTAACCAATGCATTATATAGTAACACAGCAAATGTTACACATTTTCACCACATAGAGTTTTAAGGATGACTTACTTCAATAGTTCAGTAACTATAAAAGTGCTGTGTAAAGATTTCACATTTTATCAGCACGCTGAACAATTTTATGAGGTGACGATGTGAATCTACATCCATCAAAGACCCTATTACACAATGAAAAGTTAATGTTTCAGAAAACTGGAGTGCTCTCCTTGGCTGTGTGATTCTAACGGAAAGCAGCTACACAGCAAAAAGGATGGGTCTGGGTTCACGCATACAAACGCACCAAAGAAAACAAGTATTTTTTGAGCAAGGGTTTCAGTGAGTGAATAGCTTTTGTTTACTGCAGCAGTCCATACAAGACATTTGGCTAAAAAGTTGACAGCAAAAGATCTCATTAATAACTGAACTGAAATAGCCTATTTCTATAAAATGTGAAAAAAACTCACTTTGTATAGAAATAAAAATTCCGTTAAAATTAATGTGAAGCCCTCTTTGAGAGTAGATGAAATGATATGACCCATACAGTAGAGAGCAGATGGGAGTCTGAGTAAGCAATAGGAATTTTAAAACATATATTCATTATATATACTTAAAATACCCACATTTAATGCTGGCATCTATGCCTTTTTTTGAAAGGTATCAAGCATAATTGATCCTAAAGATTATCTTGCAGTAAGTTTTGTATTTATCTACTAAATGTATTTCTAAGACACAGATACTGATACAGAACAAAACTCTAATTGCATCATAAATCAGAAGAGCAAAGTGTGTTATAAACGTGAACTGAACTAAGATCCACTTAATCTATCAAGTTTTGTAGCTGTGAACAGCTTTCAAAGGCAACAGACAGACATTACATTCAGTGTTTTCAGTCTTTCTAATAAACATCCACTCACAGACACTTGGAAATTAATTTTAAAATATAAATCTTATGCTAGCATCTACTTCTGTTTTCAAGAATGAAGTAAAACCAGCAGAAGCAAACCAGGATTTTTAGTCTGAATGTTATTTTCACTTTTCAAGACTTTTCATTTCACAGTTTTTATATCTGATGCTCTCTATTTTAGCAGATCAGACACCACACCTACAAAGAGCAAAAACTGCAAGTGACCACTTTACCTTCTGAAAAATCAATCAGTCCCAGCAAATGAAGCAGCTTCAGAGATGCAAATATAATCACAACAATACCCACTGTTTGCAGTCCCTCCGACTCCCACTCAAGAGTCAACATTCTTCCAACAGGCAAATCATTCCAGTCTTCACACCCGTTCGCAATCAGAGGGAAATTAGAGGATTTCGCCAAGATTTCGCTTTGAAGAAAGTTGCAGTGGTGTAAAGCAGCGCTGCACTGAGCTGTGGCGATTCACCAGCCACTCTAGCTGAGACAAAATATTAGATACAGCCCCGCATCTCATGCTTCTCTAAGCGTTTGATTTCATCAGTAGCAAGTCCTCTTAGAAAGCTGAGGTGGACCATGAACCCCTGGGTATGACATTGTATCCGGCAAGCAGCGTTACTTCAGAGCTGCTGGAGGAACATCTGTGTCGGAGCTGGAGACTTGGCTGTGTCAGTGCCAAGAAGAAACGCACCCTGGAAACTCGCACTAGGGAGCACGCAGCTACCGGCACTCCGCACGCCAGCGCTCCCAGACCCCGGCGTTGCGATCCCCTCCCCAGCTTCGCAGCCCTTTCCCGGCTTCTCTTTGCGCAATTTTCGTTAAGTTTGACAAATGACAGTTTGCTAAAGACAGACATCTGTTTTCACATGTGCTAAATGCTGCACATCAGATAACTACTGCCCTCTGCATTAGAAAGAATAACGTGCAGAGAAACACTGTCCCTTCCTCTTCTCCAGCATCATCAGAATCTAATTAGAATCTTCAGTGGAAATGAGAATGGAAATTAAAGAAACACACATCAGCACGGTCCATGCCTCCAGCTAGCAAAGCACACTGCTGTCAAGGAGACATGCACTGCCCAAACCCCTGTTCTGTAGCCAGGAAGAATATATTATTTATTGATTGAGAAACAAAACAGTGCATATCTGTCTCAGGATGTGAACCTAGAATTGCTGAACCCCAAACTCTGACATGTATGAATGGGACTTCGGCATTTTCCACAGCTCCTGGGAGGATCTTGCCCAGGCTACACATCAGGGGAAAAAGAAAAGAGGTTTATGATCCCAGCTGATTTACTGGATAGTCTGTATAAAATCAGTTGTCCTGTGTTTATTAATGCAGTTACCAAGAGGATACCCAGATGAAGAATAGGCTCTGAAGAATATTTATGCAGCACCTGCATAAATAGTGTAAGTTTAGGCCTAAATACTTGGGTTTGTGCATATACAAATAATTTAACTAAATCCTGTCCACTGGTATACACAGCACTAGAATAAAGTGAAGTATCAGATAAAAATTATTTTAGACACTCTTATTACTAAAGGAACACTTGTGATCTAAAACTAAAAACAATCTCATAGATGATGGCCTGTATCGACCACTCAGTTTGTTTAACTCTTTCCATTAGAAACAATTTTTACTAACTTTCAAGAAGGTCAGAAACTTTTACTTTTGTTCAGCAAGCCATTACAATTTAAAATCAGCATAATAACAAATTGTAACATTAACAATCTGTTGTTCATGGACTACCAGGTGGAGAAAGAAAAATGTAATCTCCAATTTACTATCAGCTTTTTTTCTCTTTCTTTGAAGACTATCTGTATTGAATTACAATAACTAATCAGAGTCACAGATTTTTCCATATAGGCAGGACTCTAGGAGATGCCTATTTTTGTTCATTTGAAAAATCATGCGTTATTTCACTTAATTTTAGGCTACAGCTAGTCAATATATAAACAATAATAATTCCTGATTTTTCTGTTCTGGGTATTTAAATACTAGAATGTCATGAGTTCTGTATTATTTAAATATGTTCTCCTTTCCCTGTTAACCTGTAAAACTAAAATGATGTCTAAGAGGAAAGCACAGCAAAAATAAATCAAACCAAATACATTATCCTATATTTGCACCTTACGACTATGTCACTACCCTTGCCTCTTATTGTAAAATAATTATTCAATGTATTTTCATGTTAAGTTATGTTACTTTTCAAAGAAAATTAACTTTTTGTTTCCTCTTTTCAATTTCTAGTTATTCCATACCATCTTTTCCTTTCAAGGTTCTGACATCTTCATCTTAACTCATTCTCATCATTGACTTCTATTTTCTCCTCAAGTTTATTCCTGTTTATTTTTCTTTTCCTCATTTTTTTCTTCTTAAATAATGAAGCATGGCCAAACATTCACAATATTTCAGGGCTTTTAACCACATTGTTTTACAGGCATTACAGAAGCATTACAGAAGCAATAATCCAATCCAATAACGGAAACAATCATACTGAGTGAAAGAGGACCTCTTTATTGTTAATAAACAGTATTGGGGAAACTATTAAATGGAAAAATCTGTCAGTCTACATTCTCCTTCCATGCAGTAAGTCCAGGCTACCTCAAATTCTTGAGCTGTCCAGTCTTGGGAGCAGAGGCCCTTCTACTCCACCACTGAATGTGCCAACCCAGATGCAGAAAGCCACCCCAGTGAAAAGGGCTCTCAGACACAACCAGTGTTTTGTTTTCTGCTTTCAGATGAGAAGAGAGACCTGGATCCCTTCTAAAAAAATGAAAGGGCCACAGATTATGAATTTGAAGAGTTTCAGGGACAATTCTACCTGTGCAGCAGAAGTGTCACGGAATCATTTTTAAAGAAAAAAATTAATCTGCCAACACCCAATTGAAGATTTTTCCTGTTGTTTCTCATTATAGTTCTAAGTTAGGGGAACCACACACAGACTTTGTAAATCTCTAAATTTTAGCCCTGAAAAATAAAGCAATAAGGATAAGAAATTATGTGGAAAGGAAAAAGAAGTGATGTATGAAATGTTTTTTTTAATACACCATATAACAGATTCAAACAACAGTTTCACTTACAGAGATGAATCCTTCTGGAAGAGGTTCAATCAAAAAAATTCCACGCCTCAAAGCATTTGAAAATTAAATCAATCTTGAACAAGGAGATAATAAAATTCAGTTATATATGACACCTCTTTGCATTCTGATCCCTTCCTAAATTCATAATCAAGAGTAATTCCTGTCTCTCACTTCATATTTTGTTCAATTATTTCAAAATAAGTATTTCTGTGAGACGTCCTTATAGGGCGCCTGTATTGACACTACAAGCAAATTTTAAAAGCTTTTCAAAGAGAAAGAATTTTTCATCAATGCTATCCCCAGGATACAAAATAAAACACCATCCTCTACATGAAGCACTGAAACCAGGGGCTGACAGCTTGCAATATCCAAGCATTGCTCTGGCTCATTGTGTTTCCCTAATTCCTGCTTTCATTTTTGCCATGGCAATGCATTCTGGTGGCAACTTTGTAATACGTTTAAGTTTGTATAAACTTTCTTGGGATTCTTCAGTAGGGTGCATGGAAAAAAAAAGTGCCAGCATTGTTAGGAAGCTATCCCATCTAAACAGCACATCTTCCACTGCCCATGAACTCATCTCCGCAAAGATCTGAAGCAGAACCTTTATTGTTTGCCTGAAATGTAGGCACTATCACCCTGTGGGTTTACTGAATGTTAATTATGGGAAACCATAAGCATGTAAGTAGTAAGCTCCAATACAGAGCACTCCTGAATTAGCAATAAACACACAAAAACACAGTGTTATGCTGATCTGCCTCTGCACAAAGTAAGGACAGTATACGCTGCAGCGCCAGGCTGCAGTGGGTGCAGACGTACAGCAAGGCACAGTGTTCCTCAAAGGATGCAGTGAAGAAGATCACAGCTGTGGGCCTGCTCCTGCCGGTTTCTTTCCCCAGGTGATTAGCTGTGCAAGCATAAAACGAAGTACAAGCTTTTGTCTCCTAAGTAAGCAGACAAGAGAAACCTGTGTTGAAGTGCTGTAGGAGATATCTTCTCACTGGAAGCACAGATCCCCAGTGAGTTCTGAACTGGAGAGTGTACATCTGCCAAAATTAGCAAAGTCTACAAGAAAAATCCTATTTTGGACTCCTTACATTTTTCCACAAACATTCTCAATTAATTACTGGCTACTCCAACCACTGTAAATAGAATGATTTATGTAGGGAGCACAACGAATATAAAAGAGGTGTACTACATACTATGAAAATTTCAGATCTGATTGCTGTGTGCTTGTAGAATACCCCCAATTTTCCCCTACTCCTTGGAAGAAAAAAAACTCAGAAATATTATTTATAAATCTTAGACATGGGAAATCAAATCTTAACTATTTCAAAGTTGACTAAAAGCAGAGATCTGCCACTTCAAAACCAACAATATTCCACCTAATTTAACACATCAGAAGTAGCTAATGTTTGAGAGTAACATGCAGGATGCTATGAATTGAACAATTAAGGAATAAACCTTTTTGAAATCCTAAAAACAGCTAAATTATAATTCTGTGATTAGCATATTAGTGTATAACATTTCCCTATAATTTTATATGATTACACAATTCTTTTAAAAATATCTGGTATTATCATACTTCTTTTATATACATTGGTAAACTAATCTAATTCCAGTAAACTCTTAGTTTTTAACCATTACCTGTCACTAATTAGCACATAAAACTGATGTGTGTGTTTTTAATTGCTTTAGTTTTCATAAAGAATTTTTATTTTATTTGTTTTATTTTTATTTTAATGCTTACAAGAGATTTTCACTGTAATTTATAAACTCTTTCTCCTTTCAGTTTCTTCTGACTTTTGTACATGAGATGCAGAGAAATATGAATGCCTACCTGATCCCAAACACACTGTTTTACATCTTTCCACAGTCTTCTCAGTCTTTTCTCAAAGAGAAATCTCTCCATGCTTATAATGATTTTCATTTCTCTTCCATGCAGACATTCTGGATTTGCTGTTGGCTAATGTAGAATGAGGCTGATCAAAATTGAACCGTTTTCAAGGCAAGGATATGTTATTATTCCTTAATTGACTTGAATTGTACTGCTTTCCCAAGTGATGAAATCTGTCCAGTGTTATAAATAATTTACAGGGGGGGAAAAAGTCTTAATTGGCTACCGGTATTAGTTCATTACACTCTATTTGATATTTTCCCCCATTGTAGCCAAAAAGGGAAACTGCTGCTGAGTTAGACATAGAAACAAAATTTGGAAATATTAATTAGCTGCCCTTCTTTCTGTATTCTCCT